GTTTCTTTTTTACTGTAAATGTTTTGGAAAGTCTGTAATTCGCACATTGAGAAGCCGGATACCTAAGCACAATAAGCACTTTTTCAAAAGAGGATCCAGTGAACCATAACAGCTGGAGACCCAAGAGATAATATCAAACAAGAACCATATTTTTGACATTCACCATAGATTTTTTTTTTCCTGTCTGCAGGGCATACATGTCACCCCAAATTCTAGAGTGATGGAGGTACTATTGGAAACCAAAAATCAATTTTATGTAGTTATGTGAATCTTCCCTTCCACACACATCAACCAGGGTAGGTCTGTATACAGGTGACCACTTGTATATGCTGGTTCTATGGAGAGGCAGGATGGACTAAAGATTGTGAGCAAAGAACCAGCAGCCAGACTGCCTGGGCTGAAACCTGCACATCAACACCCTGGATGCATTAGTTCATTAATATATCCTCATCTGTAAAATGGGCATGGTGACAACCTTATCCTTCTCACAGAATTAGCATGAGGATTTAATGTGGTCAATATGTAGAGAAAACTTAGAATCAGTCTAGGCACACTGTAAGGATTGACATATATCAGCTACAATTTAGGATTTACTTTGTGAGCATTTTTCAAAACTCTCACTAATGATGATCCACCTTCAGCCACAGTTCTTACTTATATAAGGAATTAGGACTGAATGGGGCATCTAGGAAATTCTTTAAATGTAATTTCTTATCAATCTTAAAAAAAAATTTTCTGTCATCCTCTCTGGAGGCAGGGGTTTTTTTAAATTAATTCTTTTAATTAGGTATACATGACAGCAGAATGTATTTTGATTCATTGTACACAGTTGCAGCACACTTTATATTCCTATGGTTGTACAAGATATAGCGTCACACCATATGTGCAGTCATACATGTACCTAGGGTAATGATGTCCACATCATTCCACCATCTTGGAGGCAGGGTCTTGATAAATATACCTCCAAGTGACATGTTTTGCTTTTTGGTTTTTAATCTCTTGTTATATTACCATTCTACTACAGACTCATCTCAATGTTAAAAAAAATAATCATGAATAATTCTATCCACAATTTTTTGTTGTTGAAAATATTTTTATTGTAATAGCAATTTAGAACTTTTTGTCAAGTTGGCACTCACTGAATCTCAATGTGGGAATCATTGTCATGGTTAATAAGGGTGAAAGGATAGGAATTAGGCCTTGAATTGGTTTTGGAAGTGAGAGTGGCTGTTTGGCAACACTATGATGTTATGGTTATTATTCATTAGCTTCTCATAGAGTAAGGTTTGGGCCCTAATTTGCTTATCAACTTGGGATAAAAAAGCCTAAGGAAAGGATCAAAACTTTAACAAGACGAAATCAGCCTCCTTGTATGTACAGGAAGAAGTAAGAGAGGGAGGTATGTAGGAGAGCAGGCAGGTGCTGCTGGCAGACACTGGCTAGGTCCTCTCTGAGTGACGGATGGACCGTGGAGGACCCTGGTCCTCTAGATAGGGTGTCAGCCAAAAGCTTTTGCTTTTGCAATGGTTTGGATCCAGAATCACAGCAGTGACAGTAGCTCAGACATGGAGCCTACTGTGTCCACAGCTCTAAAATTAGAACATAATGCTTAAAGCTGGCAGTTATATTCCCATAAATCCATTTTTAATTCTAAACAAAGTACTCCCAAGAGGATTCTGCTCTACCACTGGCCATTGTCATGGGTTTAATTGGCAAGATGAATTCACGCCAATCAGTTTTAAATCATACCCTTGCATTCCTGTGACTTTTTTCACAATTTAGGACATCCTTGGGATGTGCTGCCTCAGTGAGGGGTTTAACTTGTTTGAAAAATTCCACTTGAACAGCGATCCTTTTTGATCCTTTTTTGAATAACTCTTGGTTTTTTAAGTGTCTACAAGTCTAACTAAGCTTTCTTTCATTAGGGAAGTCTAAGATAATGCTCATGATTGACTACTTCTTTTAAATGTGGTGAGTGGCACTTTGCAAGGTTCCAGGGTCACCCTCCTGAAGAGCACTTCCAAAACAAGGGAGATGAGGAAGAGGCAGGAGATTACAGGAGAGTGGGACATTATGAAAGTCACTAGAAATCTTTTTTAAGCACAATCTTTGATTTTTACCCTTTTTTCCTCTATTAAATTTGATTTCTTTAAATACATATAAAGGAATATGTATGTATGGACCTAGATCATTGAGAGTTCTCATTTTAGAATCTGCTCTCATGAGGATTTATCTGTAATTGAAAGCACAGGAAATATCTCAGCAGGAGGGAAACGCACATGGAACAACTCGCATCTAGGGCCACGGTGGCATACCCAGCGAAAACCTTGTCTCTCCAATTAACCAGCTACCCAAATCTAAGCTGATGGCCTACCTGAGCCAAGCAAATTAGTCTATGCATGTTCCATCTGCACACAAATGCTAGGTAGCTTCAATTTGGATCAGAATAGCTTTTGTACCACTACAGGTGTACATGGAGAGACTGAAGAGATAGGAAGAAAGACAAAAATATCCCAACATATGGGTAGGGATGGAAATGACAGATGGGGACCATTTTAGTCCTAGAAAGGCAGATTAAGGAAGAGAAAGGTATTTGAACCAAATCCAAGGATGTGGAGTGAAATTATGCCATAACTATTGGATCTTAATACCACCAAACAATTTTCCTATTATCCTGATGCCTCTGTATCCGTGGGAGAGTAAGAAAAAAAAATCACATCGGTGGATTGGTGGAATAATTTTTGGGGAGGACATAGTCCTTCCACTGACACCCTAAAGGAAGCTCTCTGAGGAGTCTGTATTCTAATCATTTGAAAGTTCACTATAAATTTCACCTTCAGTTTTCACTGCTGTCCTCGGTAAAGAAAAAAACCAACCCATTCCTGGGTGTTATGAGAGTAAACATTACTTGACCCACTTCTTCCTTAAAATAAGACAAAACAAAAAATCTTGTTACGATAGGTTCATAAGAGGAGAGAGGTAAGGGTGCTGGCTCCTGGATGTGAAAGCTTAATCCCTAATAAAACTAAGAAACCAAGGATGTGGAGGACCCAGTTTATAGATCTGGCCTCTTTGGCCATCTGGCCAAAGGCCAACCCTGGAGATGTCTTCCATCACTTTTAAAATCTGATTGACCCGCCTTGGAACCTCTGGCTTAGGACAATAAATTAGGATTTTTCTTGGACTCATACAATGTTACTTAGCTCAAAGATAGCTAACAGATCATGTGTGGCTCCTTGTTTTTATACATCCAGGAAGAAAAGGAGATCAAGAGATGAAGGATGCACACTCACACTGCCTATTTAGAGACAGAGCAAGGACTAAAACCTAGGGCCCAGATTCCTAATTTCGTATTTTCCATTAACTTTCTCTCTGTTCCTACTTCCCATTCATTTCATATTTGACAGGATATGGAGAGATAGACTAAACAGGGCAAGGAGAAGTAGACCTGACCAGTTAGCCATTTGGAATGACCTACTAATGATTAGTGAAACAATTATTTTATTATAACTTATTTCAAGGTCAAATAAAAAGGAAGTGCTTTCCCCCAAAGGGCTTTCTATCTGGGTAGCCAGACTAGAGTCTTGATAGTCCAAAACTAACTGTGATCTCTTCTGGATGATATTATTAGCTCAGGTGTGTCTACACCTTCAGGCAATATCCTGAAAAGAGCCCAGAGCTCACAAGCAGTAATCAGAAGCGATATGTTCCTTTCCTTTCAATCATCTCTAAGATGCTCCTCGGCCATTCTTGCCTAAGCACCTCTCTAATTTTGTCTATTTTGCCTGCACTTGATGTGCTGCAGAAGAGAATGCTGGATGTATCTGTGCAAATCCAGTTTTTCAAGCTGCAGAAAATATAGAAAGTGCAGCCTTGGGCAGTGTTTTGTTCTAGTTGACTTACTCCATCAACACTTACTAACCACGATGGACATATGCAAAAGCTACCAATCAGAGATAGGATCCTTGTCAAGCAGAAATCAAGGAGAGGTGATTTTATTACAACTTGATGCATGTTGTACTTTCTTTTAGAGAAAGATCACTACCAAATAAAGTGGAGTTCATCATGGAAACCTATAAAATCAGGGTTTCTCAACAACATTTCCAGTATTCATATTATACTTTCCAAGCCAGCACAGTGGCGCACGCCTGTAATCTCAGTGGCTCGGGAGGATGAGAAAGGAAGATCGCGATCAAAGCCAACTTCACCAATGGCGAGGTGCTAAGCAACTCAGGGAGACTCTGTCTCTAATAAAAGACAAAATAGGGCTGAAGATGTGGCTCAGCGGTTGAGTGCCCCTGAGTCCAATCTTCGGTACCCCCCCCCAAAAAAAATATTTTCAGGTAAAAAGGGGCTCCCAACAAAGATAATTTTCCCACCAAGAAAAATTGACATTTCAGACTAATGATGCCATTAGCCATTGAAATCATACAACAAACTCTCCTTGCTTTGGTTCCCTGCTTCCCAAACAACCATCTGATGAGCAAACATTCTAGATTTATGTACCCAAGGGAATACACTGGGTCATAGACCTTAATTAGCCCATCAAATTAAGAGTTGCATTTCTCATTAACCATTAGCATTCTAGTTTATCATTTAATGCTTTAGGGAGTTTAATAGGTAAGAACCACCATAGATCCCAGACCGGTCCTGAGCATCACTGGATTTGGAAAACTGAAAAGCAGACGTAGAAGGCACTGAATTCAAATCTCTACCTGAGAAGAGTATGTCTGGGCATTGAGAGGCTGCTCCTCAGGGGCTATCCACATCATTAGCCTTGCAGGCAGCCCATCTCTCTGCTCAGCAATTTCTACCTTGCTAATGAATATGTATATTCAGGTGAAATAAAGAACAGCATCCTGAACATAAGCTTTTTTATGTATATATAGGTTAAATAAAGAACAGCACACTGAAAATAAGGTCTAAAAAAAAATCCTAAGAAAGAACATTATTAAAAACCAGTAAGTACCAGGCTCTCAAAACAGAAAACAAAACATTACCTGTCTCCTTAGATCTCTTGTTTTCTTGGTCATCTTGTCAATTGCAATGTTTAGAGGGTCTCCTTTTTCTTTCCTTCCCGTCTATTAAGAAAATAAAAATAATTTCTAGTTTAGAAAATTCAACATTAGAGACAATGAAAGCTAAAAATAATCTGGGAAAACAAAGTTGTAGAGTCAAATGAAGTTTTTATAAATGATTCTTTTCAGTACACAGCTACACAATTGAATCTCTCAAATCTTTTTTTTCCCTTAAAATATAAGATAAAAAGTAAAGATATAAGGTGGAAATACATTCTCAGGATTATTGCCATGCAAATATGTTTTCTTCCCTTCTCCTATCATTTACAGATTAATAAAATAACACAAGGATGTTTTACTTTTGTTTCTAAATACAAATGTTTTGTGTTTCTCAACTATGTGAGCACACTTCCAAATAGAAGATAATTGAGATGATAACACAACAAGAAAGCAAAATGCTAGAATTCAGAATTACTACCCATATTTTACAGATAACATTGCAACTTCTGTTCCAAAACAAAATAGGCATTTTACTAGAAAATGTAGTATTTCTAATCTCTATTCAGTCATGTATTGAAATACTTAAAAAATGCCCATAAATAATCCAAAGCTTGAGGACATGAAAAAAAATTATCTTATGACTATAACAGGTATATATAGAAAAAAAAGGTCTTCTTTAGCAAATTATTCACTTAAGAGTTAACTAGTTTCTTGTTTTTCTCCTTTTTTCTTCCTTCCTTCCTTCCTTTTTTTCTTTCTTTGTTGTTTTTTTCTGTGTGTGGGTGTGTATGTGTGGCTACAGTAAAACAAAAGCAGAATCTCCACTGTCTTTTTAAAATGGCATCAAGATTCCCATGGATGCAAGTTCTACAAGCATTTTGGATGGCATTATCTTCCCCTTAAGAGAAAATTATTTTCAAAAGTGTTGCCAAATCTATTAAATTATCTAAGCCTTAGTCAAACACTCTACAGATTTATTTATTTATGGTCCTAGAGGTAGGGCAATTCTTATTTCATACTCAGTCTCTATAAAATCATGCAGGTCTCTAGCAACTTGAGTACATGATGAAATGAATCCTAGGTCATAAGTTTTAACTAATGGGACAATATGTTTTGGCATCCAAAGAAATTACCATCCAGCAAGTTACTGAATTGTTCACCTTCAATGACAAAACCCTGGACACATAAAGCTCATAATTCAGATTAGATCCACATAGCTGGGTTTAAAGCAGCCACTCTTCTCTGCAACTTCTTTAATTAACTTTTCTTCTTTTTTTTATGAACAAATGTCTGATGCAGAGCCCTATAGGGTTTTAATTGAAAAGTCAAAACCAGGGCATATGTGTGCATATTTTTAGTCATATAAAGCCTTACAAATCCCCATCATCCTTCCCACTCTCTAAACTCATACACTAACTCCTTCAGATATATACACTGAGGTTTGTAAGTAGGAAGAGCTTAAAATAAAGTGGCTAACATTTTACAACTTTGAAATATCAGCCTACAAATAGCTTCAAGAAAACAAAAGTATATGGAGAAGATGAATGCATTCCTTTGTCCCTCAGGGGAATGTGGCTTCACAGCAAGGGCTCTCCGTGTCCTGTCTTTCCATATTCACGTGTGCCACAAGTTCACCAGCCAAACACTATTCCTTCTTTCTACAGATTTCTTTGGGCAAACAGAATATCTGCCATCAAAATACAAAACACTTTGGGATTGCAAACTTTTTGAGAAACATGAAATTCTTATAACCTTTCCATTTATTAGAGTAATAAAAATTTACTCTAAAAACTTAAGCAGGTATGTTAGTGTACACCTGTAACCCCAGCAACTGGGAAGACTGAGGGGTGGGGGGATCACAAGTTTGAGGTCAGCCTCAGCAACATAGTAAGATCCTATGTCAGAATAAAAAACAAAAAGGTCTGGGGATGTAGTTCAGTAGGAAAGCATCCTGGGTTCAATACTTACTACCAAAATAATATAATAATAAAATAATGATAATTAGAGTTATGAGTTGGTTTTCAAAGTGGCTGTGAGAGGAGACCACACCATTATAGAAAAAGAAAAGAAATCAAGATCGGTTGATACACACAATAATTACCGAGGGAAGGGAATATTAGTGCCAGGCACTGGGCTAGCTTCATTCTGCCAGTGGTGTATCTTTATCCCCAATTTGCAACTGAGAAAAATGAGATTGGGAGCAAGCCTAGGACTGGGGTGAGAGGAGTAAAGCATTTGCCTTAGGTTTAAAAGTTAAGGGGCACCAAGGAGTTCAATAATTATGATAAATAATATTTTAATGCAATATTTTAAAATATTAATATTAATACAAAACATCCATGTTGAACAAAATATCAAGGTTTTAAATAAGGTTAAGACTTGAAAGGGTAAGAATAAGGTGGATCTATTGAGATGAGTGTGCAAGTCCAGCATCAGATGATATTTATATCTATCAAACTTCAAAAAATTCGAGGATGGTCAGGTGCAATGACATAAGCCTATAGTCCCAGTAACTTTGGAGGCTGAAGCATTAGAGTTGCAAGTTGGAAGCCAGCCTCAGCAACTTAGCAAGACCTTCAGCAATTTAGCAAGATCTTGTCTCACATTAAAAAAGAAAGAAAGAAAGAAAAATGAAAAATAGGACTGGGAAAGTAGCTCAGTGGTAAAGTGCCCCTTTGTTCAATACTCAGTACCAAAAAAAATTAAATTAAAAATCAGGGGGATATATTAATTCTAAGAACAGAGTTATCTGACATTCATATTTAACCTGGCATTCTGAATTTTTTGCACTAAATGAAGCAACCCTACCACCAGAGAGAACAGTAATTCTCAGGATTGTAACTTGGGTTATTACTGACACATGTGGGAGGGGTTCTATAAGCAGAGGCAAATGTGAGTATTCTACACCACATGTAGAATACCTGAGACTGTCCAAAAGATGTCTCTTCTTTGTGAGGTAGTAGCACTGTGGGAGACACACAAGAAGTGAAAACGCTGGGCTTCATTCTGGGGTGCTCCTACTACAAATGAGTAGTCTAGAGCATGGGGCCAGCATCACTGATGACTGTGCAGGGGGACTAGCACTTCACAGGGCTGAGTGCCTCAGAAGATGGAGGAAGCAGCACATTTGGGCAGCCAAGCCATATCACAGAGGGGTTGAGAAATTCAGCTGACCTTTACCCTGGCTCAGAATTAGGAATCATTTTGAGTCACCAAAATCCAAAAGGCATCAAGACAGGAAGTGACAAAATGGGTTCCAGGAGAACAGGTGTGAAGTGGGACACTCTTTTCTTTATGATGCAAAAGGATCAGTTTGATCTGTTTCCAAGGTAATATTAACAGATGATTCTTCACAGTGTGATTCCACTCACTGTATTTTATTCTGCAAGCCAAGAAATCTCTGGGGACAGTAGATTTCATGCCACCATTGTTAGGATTCTGTTTGTGCAGTCAAGTTTCTTCAGCCTTCAAGTGTTTGGCTGAAGTCAGCTCAGAAATGCAGTTGACTTGGGTGCCATGTTTGTTGTCACTGTTTAAGGAGGACCGGAATTTTTAAGCAAGGACTAGAGTTTAGAGAATTTGAGCCATTGTTCAGAATAGTCAATTCATTCACCCTTTGTTAGCTCTAATTTCTTTAAATAAAGTTATGTACATAGGGATAACAGTAGCAGCCCCACAATGCTCAGGTTTGCACCACATATGGAGACTTGCAAATCATCAGGCCATTCTTGGCTTTGCTCTGTTATGTCTGCATTTGAAAATAATTTTAAATCATCAGCCCAAATTGGACAGGAAGCTAATCACTCAGAGAGAGACAGATAGACAGACTAGCCTCCTAGTGTCAGCACCCCCTATGATTAGGCTCTGTGATCTTGGATAATGATTTACCCACTTTTTTCTATGTCTGAGTTTTTTCTTAAGCACCACGGATAGCATAATATATGCTCTGTCTTCTTCACAAGGTTAGCAGGACCATCAATCATGATGTCAGTGTGCTGGAAACAATAAAAGGCATTAACAGTATTCAGGGTAATTAGGAAAGTATTTTTTGCTGTGGAAAAATGAAAGAACTGATTTAGAAACTACACTGAAACTATTTTCGGATCACCTGTGCTTCTGCTTTCTCCATTCAGGCAGATAACATATGCAAACCTTGCCAAAAATGAGACTCCAAAAAGGGAAAAGTTATTTCTCTTTAAGGAAAGAATATTTTGGGGCAGTTCATTTTAAATAGACAACCAGTCTGGGATATTTTTAAGAAGTGAAATAAAGGGCAGAAACTCCAGTTTGGTCTTTTACATAGTGCGTTCTTGCATAGATTTGTTAAATAACTAAGGATTTGACCATCATCTTGAGCAAATTCTGGTGCCCCGGGGAGTCACCCAGAAGTCTCCCTTAGGACTCCTTCATCCCCACTCCAACCCTCCAGCCTCAAATTGAGGTCATGACATAATAATAAACAAAAGTGTGTAAAATCTCTCATCTCTGGCCCCCTGCTTTTTGCTGAACAAGAAGAAAACAAAAGCTAGTTGTAACCACCCTCTGCCACTTCCCCCCAAGAGGAACCCACAGCTTCTTCAGTGTCCAGACTCATCATCCTTAGAATGAAGGGGCCAGAGACTAGCTCCAGAACTGTGGAATCTGGGAGGGCGGCAGAGAAACCCTAGAGCACATATAACCACTCCCCCTCTTGCAGAGAAACCTCAGTGGTTCTCCAGAAAAGGCTGGGATTTGGCAGTCAGTCGGATTTTCTCATCTCACCATCGTGGATAAGTGCTTGCTGTGTGGGATTAGGGTTGACATTAAAGAGATAAGATCTGTAACTCTGTTCAGCACAGCCCCTGAGCAGCAGTTAACTCAGTCAAAGGTGGCTGTCTCTCCTTTCCCACCTCTTCATTCCCCTCAAACAGGAGGACAGCAAGGTCCAGAGATAAAATGACAATGATTCTGATCACCTGGTTCATTGGTATCTGACAGTCTCTTGCAGTTTCTCAGTCCAGGTATTTTTTTCCATTCCATATTGAAACCATCTCCCATCTCTAAAGTCCCTGGAGTCTGGTGGT